TGTTGAGAGAGATTATTATTTGCGACTTAAGTTATTATCTGGTTCGTTGGTGGCAAAGCGTGCAATCTTCGCCAAATTATGGCCACACACTACAAATCAGTCACATGTGTGTCCGTAATTAAAATCTCGAACATTTATCGTTACTATGTGTCAGTGACGCTAAATGATTAAAAAGTGATTAATTTAATTTTAATGCAAAGTATCTTTCAGTAGATAACGCTGAATATATAAAGCTTGTCACATTTATTGGGGTCAATTGTTTCTTGACACATCTAACATGGATACCATGATACGAAACTCTTTCTGAAACTTTGCTTTCTGAGAGAGCTCATGAACTTTCGGTGCTACCAAAGTAAACCACGAGTTCATGAGCTACTGAACAGATGACAAGCAAAATAACGAACTACCACTAAGAATCCCGCTTAAATCAATTTCGAAGTCAGTGGGTTATTTGTGAGATCAGAATTTTTAGTGACTTTCACAAGTGTTTCTAACTTTTATTTAAATAGATTAAATATAGTTTTGATTTTAAGAAAGAGCAGGTATTTTGTCGCAGAGTATTGTTTCGCTTAGCAGTACCAATTGTCAACAGATATACTTGTACATATTTTGGTTAGAATTTCCAGCAAATATTTTTAAACTTTGACTTCCTAATAAATTATCAAAAGATATTTGTTTATTGAGTATATAAAAAATAAGTAATGTTCATGTTCAGGTTATTTAAAACTTGTAAGTGTTTTGAAATCTTAAAATATTTTGTTAAATTTAGTTTTAAATGTTAATTTTGAAAATCTTTTGTGATTAAAATATACATTTGCATATATTTAGACGTCATATAGGATATATAGCTTGTTGAACTAATTTTAATTATGTATTTTTTTCTGTAAAATGGAAACCGAAAAATACCCAAAAAATACATTAAAAATCTCAAAACGTATTTTTTTCCTTAGTGGCACCATTGTCAAATGTTATAAAAAATGTGGACTTTTACAGCGCTCTCGATTCAAAGAGTTGCGTATCATGTCATCCTTGACATCTAAAGAAATGAACGCGTTGCATATTTTGGCAATTTTCGCTTAGCAAGTAATTATTTACTTCGAAAACGCTCAGATTAATTGAAATCTAATGACACTGGTTCTATCTTTATTTCGCAGCTGCTATTTCGGCTTTTCTTGTGGAAGAGAGCCGTGAGAACGGCGAAAATGGCTGGTATATACCACAAGTCGATAACTCATTAATGAAGAGGGGGAAAGTAAAATCGCGGAGAGTGAGAAACAGGAAGCCTTAGACCGACGTCTCAACTTAGTGCCCGTTAAGTATTATCTGTATACACAAAAAAATCCAACTACTCCAAAAAAATTACTGTCGCCGCTCAAACCATTTTGAACTCGAACTTCAATGCCAACAACCTCACTAAGTAAGTGTGTTTAAAGCGCAGTATTTCGTGTAAGTATATATCTGATATTATTCTCTAAATATCAACAGAGTTTTAATTCACGGCTGACTTCAGAGTTACAAAGCCGATATGAATAAGAATATTCGCGATTATTTTTTGAGCCATGGTGACAACAACATAATCGTCTTCGGTTGGGCACACGCTCGTTCTATCGGTTATATATCCAGTGTTGTGACTGTGCTCAAAGTGGGCAAAAAGGTCACCGACATGCTTGATTGTTTGGGACAGAATCGCGGTCTCTTCCTGAGTGATACTTCTCAAGAGTGGTGATGCTACATACGTTGAATCTATCCAAACTGAGGGTGGTCAATTGTGTTTTCTGAGGCCAATTGGTAAAGGTGCGATGTCTCATACAGTGTGTGGAATTGGGTGCTGTTACTAACGCTATTATGGTGGCTGGAGATTTATGTGCATCCGTACTCAGCACTGCTTCCTNAACGTGCTCGTGTCCAATCCACAATGATCACATTGTATTTTCCTCGTGCCAACCAGGCAGCACGAATATCTTTATTCATACCGGCAGTGTAGCTCTGAGTCCAACCGTGTATAACGAATCTGTAGAATTTAGATGTTTACTTATATACTTACTTAACAGCTTTTTAAAAGACTTTTCAACCAGTTTATATCATACCTCGTTGGATTGCTAGCATCGAAGTCGGAATTGGTAATGGATTTGGCAGTTTCAGTAATTTTTTGTCCTTTAAACGGGTTTCTATTTGTGTACAGGTAGAAAGTCACTGGTACTGGTAAAATGCGACCCTCTATTTCTTCTTTCTCCTCTAAATCAGCCAACATTTGTTCACCCTCTTCGGTTGAGACCCAAACTAATGAGCCATCAGCTTGAGGAATATACCAACCATTCTCACTGTTCTCACTTCTTCCCTCAGGGCTGGCTACGGCTACAACTAAGGACATGCTAATAAATTGTCATGCACTGATTATAACCAGCGGTAAATTACCTGTGGTCAGCGAACAGATTGCTAAAATTATTACGACTTTCATTGTTAAGTCAATAGAAAATACTAATAATTCTTGAATGAACTCAACTCAATTTATATAACAAGTGGGGCATCTGTTGCTTTGAAATGCATCGATCAATACAAACCCATATTGGCAAGATAGAAGTTTATTGATGAAAAAATCAAATGCGATAGCTCCGACATTATCTTGATGAAAACATTTAAAATTTAATTGATAAAAAGCCGCCGTTTTAGTAAAATATCGATTAAGTACGCCAATGCGGCTTATTATTAGGAAGATAAGATACTAGAAATATACACTGCAACATTTTTAGCGGATGAATTACCCATGTATATATTTATATATGTATATATATGGTATAGTTTTATAAGGATTATTGTACGCGGAACTCTTCGTTAGACATTCAAGCAATAAATAATAGATATGTAGTAATTTTTAAATTAACTAAGCTCTTCACTAACACGAATTTCGCTCTTATTGCACGTAAAACCTCCAGTGTTTATGAAACTTTGTGGAGAAATTATTGGAATATTAGAATAAATACCACTTTATGACCTTTCTTCTTCACTGGTATTACAACACATTGACAACGTCATGACTGTATCGAACGCTCAAAATTTCATTGTTATTGTAAACAACACCGTTCGTGGTTTTACCAAAATCATTATTTAAAAATATTTGTTAAGCTGAGATCTGCGTCCATTACTCGAGATTATTTTAGAGAAAAACTATCATAGAGAACGCTTAATCATTCTCAGTGATATTCCAGCGACACATCAGATAATCCCTTACGTTTAAAGCAAATCAATGGTACTGGAGCATTGACAACATGAAAATGGCATTACGGGAGGTACTGGCAGTAAATATCCGGACTTCGGCATGACTAATCTAAGTAAGAAGCGGGCATGCCCATTGCTGATATATAATATATATCATTTACAGGATAGTTTTTAATCGATAGAGACCAATCTATTTTTAATATGTCACATTAAGTCTACATAATTTAAATTAGTAACTACTTAGTAATGTGAGAAATCTACTATAAGTTAATATTTACTTAATTTTCTTATACTTAAAAACTCTTTTTTCTTATACTCCAAGCAATTATCTAAATAAGAAATAAAAAGCACCGCGAGCTGAAATAGTTTTTTATATACTATCAGCTACGTCAACGTTCTTTGCTTTCATTCATTATCTCAATTACTTTTGGGCCTATTCGCTATACACACTACAATAAATTAAACAAATCATAAACTTAGTAAATACGTATGTAAACAAACATAAATAATAAACGGTATAAATAAAGTTAATTGTTAGTAAAATTAGCTTATAACAATATGTTGCAAAAACATACTAAGTACACTGTAAAAGAATTCTTGTCGTTAAAAAAGGAAGGAGATAATGATTATATTTCTTAAATCTATCGAGATATAAATACATTTGGGGAAATAATATGTATCTTTGCAGATTGGATTAGTAAGCTATTCCTTATATTTAGGCTATAATTTTTTAGTTTTTGAAGAATATGGGTAATCAAGTTATAATTCGCCAAGAAGCAATTTTCCACTTAACCCTACAAAATTAAATCAACTTCCAACAAAATATAAATAAATTCCTTAATTTTATTTTAAATTTAGAAGAAGAAATAAAGTTCTATAAGTGCAAAGGAGTAAGTATAGGTGTAAATGTTTGGAAAAGGGGTTTTGATAGCTTCCTCCAATAGGCATAATGTTCACTTCTCACCATGTTACCATGTAAATATGGAAGTGCTTTATTTGGACGTATCCGAGCCTTAAGTTCTCACAAATATCGATTATCAATCTGTTTCAAAGAAATCAATATTGAGTGAGTGTATGGCTATATGGGAAGACATTGACTCACATCATTCAAATGACTTTACGTTAGGTGAAATACGGTATACAAATCGCGGAATGGAAATCATTTTATTGATCATATGTTGCCAATAGAAAGGTATTAGCCCACTTGCTCTAGTTTCGAAAGTAATCCTTATATGCCTAGTAGTTTGTGGTCCTGGTATTCTTCCTATTTCACCCAAATGTATTACGAACTTTCTAAAAGTAAAATACATACATACAAGATAATAAAATCTTTAATTTATTTTATTATTATAATATATAATTAATTAGTAAAGGCCCATCCGGTGACAATACCAGTTTAAATTTTTTCTATCTTCAAAAAGTAATGCTGTCATTCGAAAAAATCATTCTACTCAAAGGAATAATAAACAATTTTTGCATAATGATAACAAATAACTGATATGGACTTTCCGCAACACGTCAAAGTAATCGAAATATTTTATTATCAAGATCTAATGAAATTATTAAACCATGCCAAATATAAAATTGCTAACATTAACAACTAAATTATATTTTGCGACTTAAGTTATTATCTGGTTCGTTGGTGGCAAAGCGTGCAATCTTCGCCAAATTATGGCCACACACTACAAATCAGTCACATGTGTGTCCGTAATTAAAATCTCGAACATTTATCGTTACTATGTGTCAGTGACGCTAAATGATTAAAAAGTGATTAATTTAATTTTAATGCAAAGTATCTTTCAGTAGAAACGCTGAATATATAAAGCTTGTCACATTTATTGGGGTCAATTGTTTTTGACACATCTAACATGGATACCATGATACGAAACTCTTTCTGAAACTTTGCTTTCTGAGAGAGCTCATGAACTTTCGGTGCTACCAAAGTAAAAACACGAGTTCATGAGCTACTGAACAGATGACAAGCAAAATACGAACTACCACTAAGAATCCCGCTTAAATCAATTTCGAAGTCAGTGGGTTATTTGTGAGATCAGAATTTTTAGTGACTTTCACAAGTGTTTCTAACTTTTATTTAAATAGATTAAATATAGTTTTGATTTTAAGAAAGAGCAGGTATTTTGTCGCAGAGTATTGTTTCGCTTAGCAGTACCAATTGTCAACAGATATACTTGTACATATTTGTTTAGAATTTCCAGCAAATATTTTTAAACTTTGACTTCCTAATAAATTATCAAAAGATATTTGTTTATTGAGTATATAAAAATAAGTAATGTTCATGTTCAGGTTATTTAAAACTTGTAAGGTTTTGAAATCTTAAAATATTTTGTTAATTTAGTTTTAAATGTTAATTTTGAAAATCTTTTGTGATTAAAATATACATTTGCATATATTTAGACGTCATATAGGATATATAGCTTGTTGAACTAATTTTAATTATGTATTTTTTCTGTAAAATGGAAACCGAAAAATACCCAAAAATACATTAAAAATCTCAAAACGTATTTTTTCCTTAGTGGCACCATTGTCAAATGTTATAAAAAATGTGGACTTTACAGCGCTCTCGATTCAAAAGATTGCGTATCATGTCATCCTTGACATCTAAAGAAATGAACGCGTTGCATATTTTGGCAATTTTCGCTTAGCAAGTAATATTTTACTTCGAAAACGCTCAGATTAATTGAAATTATGACACTGGTTCTATCTTTATTTCGCAGCTGCTATTTCGGCTTTTCTTGTGGAAGAGAGCCGTGAGAACGGCGAAAATGCGGTATATACCACAAGTCGATAACCATTAATGAAGAGGGGGAAAGTAAAATCGCGGAGAGTGAGAAACAGGAAGCCTTAGACCGACGTCTCAACTTAGTGCCCGTTAAGTATTATCTGTATACACAAAAAAATCCAACTACTCCAAAAAATTACTGTCGCCGCTCAAACCATTTTGAACTCGAACTTCAATGCCAACAACCTCACTAAGTAAGTGTGTTTAAAGCAGTATTTCGTGTAAGTATATATCTGATATTATTCTCTAAATATCCACAGAGTTTTAATTCACGGCTGACTTCAGAGTTACAAAGCCGATATGAATAAGAATATTCGCGATTATTTTTTGAGCCATGGTGACAACAACATAATCGTCTTCGGTTGGGCACACGCTCGTTCTATCGGTTATATATCCAGTGTTGTGACTGTGCTCAAAGTGGGCAAAAAGGTCACCGACATGCTTGATTGTTTGGGACAGAATCGCGGTCTCTTCCTGAGTGATACTTCTCAAGAGTGGTGATGCTACATACGTTGAATCTATCCAAACTGAGGGTGGTCAATTGTGTTTTCTGAGGCCAATTGGTAAAGGTGCGATGTCTCATACAGTGTGTGGAATTGGGTGCTGTTACTAACGCTATTATGGTGGCTGGAGATTTATGTGCATCCGTACTCAGCACTGCTTCCTATGGGTTCGCATTTGATTAAGGATATGATGTTTGATATAGCTGTATATATATTATATATATTGTTAATGAATAAATATATGTTCGATATAAAAAAAAATTAATTTTGAGTTACGTTTCTTTGAGATAAGTGAACATTACTTTCTGCTATCTTCTAGAATTTTCTGAACAAGCTCTTTACTTAAACATGTTAATAAAATGGCTTAAGACTATCCCCCGCTGTTATGTTTTGTTAAATGGCATTTCTGGCATAAGTAGTATGTTTTCAAATCATCACTTTATCGTCTTTAAATTTTAGAAAGCCACACAACGAGTTAGTTTGCTGGCCACGAGTAGGGTGTTTTTTCATACCTTTACGATGATTCATACTATTTGTAAAGTAGTTTATAACTGGATGACTTTATAGCAGGGTATCGAATAGAAATTGAAACAGAATAAACAAATTTTCTATATTTTCAAATGTAGAAGAGGGTTCCACGAGATAATTGCTTAGCCTAAAAACATAACGAAGCCGCTCGGAGCCAAATCCGGACAGTATAGTGGATTTAGCAGCAGCATGACCATAATTGAGCATAATTGACTCCGCTCATGAAATTACACAGAAATTTCTTCGGATTATATTTTAATTCCGCTAAAACCACTGTTGTGAAGTGGTCGGAATTCAGCTTTCTAAATACCCATATTTCAAGACGGTCTTTTGAGATATATACTTGCTCAGCAATCTTGCGCAGCTTCAATCTGCGCTCTGTCAATAACCGACCGATTTTGCTCCTTTTCCATGTTCCCAAATCCGTGAACACAACTCTCAACTGTATATA